ATGTTGATTTAATCAATTGTTGAGATTTCTCTGAGGTCCGACATAAAACCCTGAGGTTTGACATCATCTGTTTAGTTACCGCAGTGTTTCCAAACAGCGTGGGATGTTCTGTTTCAAACAGTGTTTCTGCATTCAGACGCTGTGAGGGCCGGGGTTGAACATGTTTAGTTCTGGTGCCAACTCGGTACCAAAAACTCTACAGATTTATAAGACATTTATATATATTATGTCTTACATTTAAAAACAACAAAAGACCTCTTGTAAGTAAATGAGACTGTGATTCTGATCAGCTGCCAACATATAAACCTCTGTATCTGTAGAATATGTCTCAGACATGGAAGAATATACTTTTCTCGTTGTGAAAAAAAAAACTAATCCTGAATATAACGTGATGACTCTTTTGATAATAAAGATTACTGACCTCTGATTTACTTTATAAAATATCAAATAATTGAAGATTTGTTGTCTTTTGTCCAAAACCAACGGTCCACAACCCGAAGACTATTCATTTAATGTCATAAAAGACAAAAGAAAAGCAGCAGATCTTCACATTGAAGAAGCTGAAACCAGCAAATGTTTGACATTTCTGCTACAAAAAGGACAAACAATTATCACAGTGGTTGGCAACTAGTTTTCTTTCAGTCGATTATTCGACGAATCGTTGCAGCTCCAGAGCAACTCAATACGCAGCTGCTAACAGGAACATGATGTGTGTCAGAGTGGATGTTATCAATCAGTAAGGATGCAGATGTGAGGATTTGTTGCAGCAGATATTCCAAATGAAGTGAAACACTCGAGCTGTCACACAGTGAGTGAGATATTCTCTACGGTGTGAATGAGAAGGGTTGCAGGCCTGTTCTTTACTTTCTGTTTACAGTTTCCTCTCCTATTTTCTCAGGAAGCGTTACGAGAAGGCGGAGACGGAGTACGTGGCGGCCAAGATGGACCTGCACAAGAAGACGGAGGTGAAGGAGCAGCTGACTGAGCACCTCTGCGCCATCATCCAGCAGAACGAGCTGCGCAAAGCCCACAAGCTGGAGGAGCTGATGCAGCAGCTGCAGCTTCAGGCCACCGAGGAGGAGCTGGAGAGGCAGAGGAAGGAGGAGGAGAAGGAGAAGGAGACGCGAAGCTGTGTGGAGATGCAGGGTAACGGTTCAGTGGAGAACCCGGAGGGAACAGTGCAATCAGCCAAAGACTGTGGACCCACAGAGGGAGAGACTGCGAAGGAGGAGAGGGGAGGTGACGTCCAGCGAGAGCATCGCCCGATGACCGAAGGAGACTGTAAAACACTAGAACACTGCACTCAGACTGAAGTTGTGGCCTTGTGATGCTCAGAACAGAGCGTGTTAAATCTTCACACAATATAAAACACTAATGTTTTCCACTAGATGAAATGTCTTTGACGCTCCAGGGCTGGGTTTCCAACCTCGTCTCCTAATACTTCTGAAGGTTTGTGCCTACAATGTTTTGGAGGACTCCTAATTGCTGCGTGGCAGCAGGTTTTTTTCTAGAAGTCATTGGGAGGTGGTCGGGGGTGAGCGGTGGGCGTCCAAACCCAACGGGGGAAGTTTAGGCTACAGGAACACTTGGTTATGGTTTGGGAGAGATTGTGGTTTTAGTTATTAAAATATTGAAAACATAACTACATCCTGTCTCATTTCACTTATTTATCTTTTTCAATATTTAACCAAGATGACAATCAGCCTAACCATAACCAAGTTCCTCCTCTCTGGTGTTCAGTCCCTCCATGATTGGTTTCAGTTTTAGATGAATCAGTTTATTTTTGTTGGTGTAATTCATGAAAAATCAAAAGCAGCTTGTTCCACTGAATAAAATTGCTTCTAGTTTTTGGTTAAATTTGCGATAATCGCAGCTTCCTGGAGGATCTGGGTGTTGGATCGGGATCGAGGGAGAAAAAAGGTGTTGAATGTCCTTTGGGAAATGTGCTGTTGCAGATTAGTACTATATAAATATATAAATATTAGGGATTACATCATTATCTGTTCAACTAAAAGATCTGTATTTGCTCTCTGAGTGGGCGGGGCTTAGACTGTAAGTGGGCAGGACTCAGAAGAAGCTGTTAACTGACCTTGATCAGAAGTTTCCATATTTATTAGAAAATGATTTACAGAATTGAGCCTCAGAGGAATGTTTTTATCACCAGAGTAAGAGAACTATTTACAGAACAAGTATATTAACACATTTTACTCGCCTGATACTCGTTTCTGTCGAGTACTCGGTCGACTCACTCAAGCCTCATTCATAATCATATTTACTTATTTTTTTTATCTGATCATACTTAAATTTAAGGACCAGTGTGTAGGAGCAGATTGCAACCAACTGAATACAGCTCGGTCCAGGAAACTGTGGTCGCTGCAGAAGACCCTGTCTGAAGCCAGCGTTAGGTTTGTCTGTCCGGGGCTACTGTAGAAACATGGCGGTTCAATGTGGCGGACTCCGCCAGAAGAGGACCCACTGACTCTGTAGGACACTAATGAAAACATTCCTATGATTATTATATTTTATTTCTGACAACAGCTCGTCCTGAACGTTACACTGGAAGGAGAATTTAAACTGTTTAGACCAGAAGAGCTTTTGTACGGCTGCTTGTGTGTTTAATGAAAAAATGACTTTGTAGAGCAAAACAATATCGGGGAATATTATTTAAAACTTTAGTATCGACACCCAGCCCTGCTGTGTGTGTGTGTGTGTGTGTGTGTGTGTGTGCCTGCCTGCCTGCAGGATCCGACATCTGTAGAGTAAATCATAAGAGTATCTCAGCCATTATCCTCAGTCGGTGGCTTTTTATGTGCTCGCTTCCACACACACACAAACAACCCCACTTCTTCCAAACATGTGGTTTTACATCATTTGTGAATTATCTCTCTGAGCAAAAGGTTTGACTGTGTCTGATCGTCTCTCTGAGATGGGCCCTGTTTACTTCCTGGAAGCATTAATCCAAACACAAAGCCTCCCGTCTTCTGTGTCGTAGATGAACAACATGTTAGCCGACGCTCGGCTCTCCTTTCACAGAGCTGGTTCTGGTGCGGTGGGTGCAGCCGAGGAGCCTCCTGGATGGTAAGACGATCTCTGTTAATGTATGTACGGACTGCATGAGCTGCACATGTGTCTCAGATAATATGTGACAAACTTTATGTACGTGGGCCTGACCGAAGTCTGTATGAAACCATGTTACGAGTTATTTAAACGGGGTAAATATTTAAAAAGGTGATATTTGGATATGTATGGTGTTTTACTAAAATAAACTTTAAATGTCCATCCTGTGTTTTATTCTCGTGTTTGAAGGTTTAGATAATGAGTTATCTGCTCGTGGTCCTGGGAGGAATTTAGAGGAGGAGGTGGATGCTGTGTGGGGGCGGGGGGGCACTCTGGGACTCTCATCGTAGTTTTTTTAAAGTGCAGTAAGTGTTTCTGTAAACTGCTTTTGAGATTTTACAGCGCTCCGGTCACATCTGGCCGTCTGAAGGCGAGGCCGTAAAAGCAGCTTTTTTAATTAGTTGGGAGGTAGAAGCTGAGAGAGGGAGAGCGACCACCGTCCCCCGTCTGTCCCCGCTCAACCTCCAAGGTCAACGTTTGAAGTGCGGACGAGCAGATCTCAGCTCAGATTGGACCCCATTATAATGATATTAGAATAAAAGAGGCTGAATTATGTCCACAGGTGGAATGAAACCAAACACTTTACTTTATACTGTAATTACATTTGAAAAGGAAGTGTTGTACATTTATTTGCTGTCTGTAGTCACAGATTCACATTCTTCTAAAAATATGATGCATTTATGCTCTGATGCAGTAAATCGTATCGTTTTAGTCTGTTTGAGTCATAAAAGTCTTATTTTCTGCCATTTTCCAGCCCGGTTTCAACACACATGAAAGAAAATAAGGTGAAATGTTTTCAGGATCAGGTTTGTTGCCAAGAAGGTTTTCACATACAATAAGAAAGATTATTGATTAAATATAGTTACATACACACAGGCTGATTATATTCTTTAGATATTGTGTTATTCCTATTTTATTTCCTATTTTAAACTATTTTTATACTTTATTCAGTTTATTTTTGTCTCCTTGTGCTGCTGTGTCCTCTATGGAGGATCAATAAAGGTTCATTTTATCTTATATTAGTTTGATTCAGTGTGCAGCTTCTACAGTGAGACCCCCCAGTGCACAGACACTGAGACTTTACAGTCAACACAATTAGTATATTTCATATATTATAGATTTTTAATGAGGTAGAAGGAGTAGGTGACTTTTTAAGGATTTTAATGTGGAAAATAAAGTGTGTGCATCAGCAGAAGATGTGAACATTTCCCACTTTGAGCTACAGTGACTTATTAAGGTACTTGCACATCTGCGGGCCCCTGGTGGCCCTTAGCAGCTGCTTCCTTTAGTCTTTTATTCCAAACGCATTTTATTGACGGATCCATTTAGTTCAACTCCAACCAACTATTGAAGTTTATTAACAATTTAGACTCAGTGTAATTCCATTAAAACTAGTATACGTGCAAAATGTGAATTTTCATAGATTATGGATTTTATTATGAAGTAGAAGATGATTTTTTAGGGATTTTAATGCAGAAATTCAGCTTTTTTTCTGTATGTATTACTGTTCATAGTAGACTATTTGTATGTTAATAATTTATGTCTGGAGGGGTCTTTAAATAAACGGAGAACCATGGAGCTCTTTGATACCAACCAGTGTTTTAAATGAAATGTTGGGCAGAAAAGCTCCATGTTTCAGCCTCTACATGTTCACACGATCCCACTCACTGCTTTACTTTTAAATGGGAATAATAATAATTGGCAGAGAGCTCCTCGGGGAGGGAGGCGGGGGGCAGGGGTTGGGGGGGTCCTTGTGAAAAGAAATGTGCTCTATATTATGACACAGAAAAATGAGAAGATACAGGCTGCAGAGATTAAGGCATCCAACAGAAACCGCCTCTGCATTAGAAATACATTTCCATTAGGGTGTGTGTGTGTGTGTGTGTGTGTGTGAGAGAGAGAGAGAGAGAGAGAGAGGGAGAGAGAGCTGGGCCGGACTTCAGAGAGCACAGGGTTTATAAAGTAAAGTGTGATTTATGTGGCGCTGGCGTCCCTCGACAGGTCGAGAAAGACCCTGAAACCTGAGAGCCGAGAGAGGAAAAAAAGCCTAAAAATCAGGTTTTCCTGAAAATGTCAGACATCTGGAGGAGCCGAGCTTCACCTCCATATCTCCTGAACTTTGACCTCACTGTCGGCACAACTGCGACACTAAATACAAACTGGATTTAACCCGTTTTAAGTGTTTAACAGTCGGTTTAATGTCGGAGCATCAGCAGCATCCTTTAGTTCGGGCCTAATTCGCGCTGTCAATTAAGAAAATCATTGAACTGGATAATGAACCCAAACTGTTGATTTAAAGCCTCACTGTTGCAGCCGAATTAATATTTTATTCCTTAATAACCCGCTGGTGAACTCACAATAGATACAGCTGGACCGTAAATAAAAATTTAGACTCTCTCAAAGAAAAAATGTAAGAAATTTTAATCTGATTTGGCTCCGAGACACGGCTGGTTAAAGATTTGATGGAAAAGAAATTCACTTCGACCCAAAGTGAGTGTAGATATTCTTATTGAGGGGAAAGGAAATTACAAAAATATAAAAATAAAAGAGTTAGACTTTTTTCAAATGCCTAAAGAGAAACTTTCACCCGAGCTTTAAATATAAAATGAACCAAACCGAACCCCGATAAATAACTGAACCAAAAACCCAAAACAGCAAAACCACTAATGAACTGATTGATGTATTTGTGTCTCGTATTAATCACTTATAAAGTGTGTGTTGTACAGTGTTTCCGGGCGGTTTTTGGGGCTTTGTAATAATGAGAATCAGTGCGGCGGAATTAATTTGCTCTGTAAACTCTCCGTGTAGTTTTTAATCAGGAGCAGATTGAGCTGCAGTTTAATGTCGGAGCGCCACAAACCGTTTACAGTTCCAACAGTGCAGCATGGCAGAAACACAACGAGTCGTAAAACATAAAGAGGGACACAGATAGTTCATAGAATCACACAATTACACACAATTACCGCCGTTTATCTGACAGCTGGACCCACTTTCACCATTAAATATGAAATCTGTGTGAAACACTGCACAGCTGTTAGAGAAGAGAGGAACAATGTTAGACAATATGAATATATATACACACTTTATAGAGAGTGAGCCTTCAGTTAATCCATAATTCATTATCAATTCAGGTTTTCACAATAAATTCTCACAATAAACTACTTTAATGATGTTTTTGCAATGCAAGCTGGGTAATTCTTTGACTATTACAGGTAGATATTGTGAATTATAACAATTTATTGTAATTTCATATCAAAATACTGTATTTTCTTACAGTAATATTATAACTGGTTACTGTAGAAACACAGTTCATTACTGTGAGTTTATCTGTATTACTGTAAAATAATTACTGTGAATTTAATGCAATTATTTGCCCCAAATTTACTGTAAAAGTATAATAATATATTTTACATTATAGTTAAGGATTAGTTATTTAAGAAAACGAGTGAGGAACCGATCACTTGATAATCGATGAATCGTTAATAATTAGTTCCCTAATAATTCCTTATAGTAGATATTGATGAGCTTTAAGGGACATAAAAACAGTAACTAATGCTTCAGTAATTAGTAATTAATGAGTCGTTACCAATGATTCAAGTTTATAGACATCAGATCTCTCTATCAGATCATATAAAATCTATCAGAGATCAATATCTGTAATCTGGATACAGACTCTATGTTACTGTATATTTCTGTATTTATTCCAGTTTAAAGATTAATTCATATCACAGTTGTAGTTATATTGCAGTCTGTTCTATATTCCTCCATTAGGAATTATACTATTATTAACATTATTAACAATCATTAATGATCAAGTTGTTCCTGATTCGTTCTTCACTCCTTTCTTTATGAACTAATCATTAACTAATAATGTGATTAGGAGTTAATCATTAACTAATTGTTCACTCATTTGTTTCCTGGTAAGTGCTCAGCAGGTTTTGCCTCTTATTATAAAAAGTTAATGATTATTTGACTTTATATAAATACATAATTTAACGATTAAATACGCTAAGTAACCTCTGTTTGAATTATTTATTAAAGTTGTTAAATTTACCTTTAACAGACCAGTTTCTGGTTGTAATATCGGCCTGTGTCAGTACCACAATTAATATTCAATAATTTATTACTGCCAATAAATAAATAAATACAAAGACAAGACAACCATACAAATAAATATAATACAAATACACATCAGCAGAGACATATTAATATATCACAAATACACTGATGGTGATTTAACACATTAGATTAATTTTAATAAAATAATATGTTAAAAACTTGTATGAACACATATAATTGAATGTGTTTATTATGTATTGTGCCTCCATTGTTCTACATTATCTCTGTACGGCAGAATGAAACATACGTCTGAGAGAAGCTGTATGAATACATTATGGTTTCACTTCCAAACAAATATTGATAAATGTGATTGTTTGTGATTAAATCAGAGTATTTACACTCCACGACTGTTCCTGCAGACCCGCTGCTGAGGACAGAGTAAAGGAAGACTCTGCTGCTTTATTAACCACTGAACATTTCTTCAATATATTTAAGATAAGATGAGACTTTACTGATCAAAAGGAGGGAAATTCAGCATCACAGCAGCACAACAAACAAACAAACACAAAACAAATAGAAGTAGCAGTAGAAGTATTTAAGTATTCATTATACAATATAGTAAAAGTCCTTTATTCAAAAGTAAATGTAGAAAATCAGAAACATTTTTTAAGAATTAAAAGTAATATTTAAAGTACTTGCTGTCAGTGTTACAATATTATATAACTGAATTATCATTACGTACTTTTAACTACTTTATATGCTGCTGGGAAGTTTAATACACATCATATCCATCACATTATCTTAACTGCTCACCTGGTTTGTGTGTAAAGTAAGAGCAGCTGTAATGTAGTGGGGATGTAAGTGAGTAAATGTGGAGGAATCCAAGAATAAAGTAGCATAAAATATAAATAAGTAAGTGTAAGTGGCTCCCAGCTGTACTGCAGTACTGTCCTGAGTGTACAGCGCCGTGTATGAGATGTATTTCTCTGCATGTTTCCCAACTGGCCGATGATTTGTTGACGTTTTCAGGCTGCGGAGTCGTGAACCGGTACCGGTCCTGACTCCTCTGAAAGCTGTAATCAGCTCTCAGTCTGTGTGAGA